AGAAAAAGAATGTGAGGGAACAGCCAAAAAATTTAAATGTGCTTAATGCTACTGAACTATACACTAAAACACTGGAAATTTTTACCTAAATTTAAAAGTAAAGTGGTGAAAAAACAACTAATTAAAAATCTGTTCACCTATTTTCAGGAAAAAATATTCTGTTTCATGGTATTTAGACTCTGAACCATCCATACTCAGATCTTCCCTAATAGATTGGCAGTGGTACCCGAGCATCAGTGAGGCACTGTCAGGTCACAAGCCATGTGACAGCTGGGTAAACTCACAGATGACCGTGACTCTTTAAAATGTGTTTTATGGTACTGTGATGGTTTGGAAAAAAAAAAAAAAGTGCCCAAAGGAAGTGACACTATTAAGAGGTGTGACTTTGTTGAAGTAGATAATGGCCTTGTTGGAGGAAGTATGTCACTGTGGAGGCGGGCTTTGAGGTCTCACATATGCTCAAGCTATGCCCAGTGTCTCAGACCACTTCCTGTTGCCTGTGAGTCAAGATATAAGAACTCTCAGCTCCTTCTCCAGCACCATGTCTGCCTGCACACTGCCTTGCTTCCCACCATGATGATAATGGACTGAACCTCTGAACTGTAAGTGAGCCACCTCAATTAAATGTTTTCCTTTATTAGAGTTGCCATGGCCATGCTGTCTCTTCACAGCAATAAAAACCCTAACTAAGATGGGTACTTTGGAAAATAAAAGAAATCCTACAAGCAAACCACAATTCTCTAATGCCCTTTCACCCACAGCCTGACAATTCATAACCAGGAAGTCTATTTCAGTGGCTCTCAGTTGAGTGAACGTTAAAGGTTACAAAAGTAAGCAAGAGAAAAATATGACTTCATAACTAAGCTTGCCCCATTGGGAATCTAGACCTAGAATTGAGGTCAGAATAGCATTTCTCATCTTTACAGTAAGCTGAAGTTACACAGCAATTCCAAATACAGTTTCCATAGACCCTCTTTCCTATTTCCAAAGGAAATGTTACTATTTTAAGCTTCTAGGATATAGAGACTGAATTCAAGTGATCAGATCACAGTCATCTAGTACTATTTGGGCATGGTAATAACCCAGGCTTTTAAGCTCAAATCCACTCTTATAACTCCCTAACTGACATCTTTAGTCAAAGGCTTTACTGATCCCAAGTTACAAAACCCAAGGACAAAAGCAATGCCTATGACTTGGGGGATTTGACAAGGAAGAGGAAGGTCTCACTTGCTGCCTCACAGGGAAAGACTTGACTTGATGTCACCACTACCCACCACTCGGGAGATCTATAAGATCAAGAAGGATTATAGATTACATGTTGAAACCTTTTAGAAGGAAAGTCACTCAAAAGGTATAGCCTCTATCCACTAAGATTGTTAGATTCTTTTTTTTTTAAATATTTATTTATTTATTATGTATACAGTATTCTGTCTACGTGTATGCTAACAGGCCAGAAGAGGTCACTAGATTGAATTATGGATGGTTGTGAGCCACCATGTGGTTGCTGGGAACTGAACTCAGGACCTCTGGAAGAGCAGACAGTGGTCTTAACCACTGAGCCATCTCTCCAGCCCAGATTCCTAGATTCTTACCACGGGACTGATAACTGTGAAAGATAAGCAAACATCCTCCAAGCCCCCAGCAGGCCTGGTATCTAAAGTGGGCTGGAGGAGTAACCAACAGTGAGCACCTGCAGTTGGTTCAGATGACAGACACTGAACATGAGCGCACTGCACACTTCAATTGCTAAAAGAGGGCCTTGATGAAGAATGAGGTAACTAGATGTGCTACTGGAGGGCAAGAAGGATGGATGGAGCTGCTGAGGGGGTCTGCTGAGCCTCACCATTTCTTTCACCAGGGTATGGGAACTTGCTGGTACCATGAGCTGTGCCTTCTTAATTCTCTTTCAGCATGGGTGAATGGTCAGGGTTCTCACAGGCACAGGTGGGGGCAGGCTGTGACCATCAATCTACTGTCTAGGAGGTGGGAACAGGAATGGAGGCTAAGAGCCTCAAGTTAATTTTATCTATCCATCTGACCTGCCAAATAGTTAAGAGGGCCACTATGCAAGACAGTGGCCCTGCCAGTGACAATTAAGTGCTGAAGCAAACAGACCGTGAACAAAGTAAACCAGACATTCTAACAAGTGTCATGAGGGTAACAGCCATGAGGTAGGACTGAGAGTGCCTGTGAGACCACAGAGGGCCTTTCTGACAAGATGGTATAGAAGCTTAGACACAGGAACAGAGGTGAAGGGGATGCTCTCCAGCTGTTAAGAGAATATTGGTAAGTGCTAAGGCCCCAAGGTGGAAATGAGTTTAACGTGTTGAAAGAAAGGTACGACTTAAAGGTGAGTATGAGCTGTGAGTGATGTTACGGGGAAAGCTGAAGGCCACATCAGTTAGGGCTTTGGTCACAGAAGTCTGGATTTTGTATTCAATGATGGAGGAATTCATTTTACATTTTTAGCAGATGAAATTGGCCAAACAGATCAAAAATTAAAACCCTGGAAATGATGTATTAAAATGTCTCATATGAATAGAATTTTCCACTACAATCCAAGAGAGATCATAGCTTACTTGGTGTGGTGGTTTGAATGAAAATGGCCCCCATAGGCCCATAAAGAGTGGCATTACTAGAAGTGTGGCCCTGTTGGAGTAGGTGTGGCATTGTTGGAGGAAATATGTCACTGAGGGTGGGCTTTGAGGTTTCAAATGCTCAAGTCAGGCCCAGTGCAGCTCTCTTTTCCTGCTGCCTGACAATCAAGATGTAGAACTCTCAGCTACCTCTCCAGCACCACGTCTGCCTGTGTGTTGCCAGGCTTCCCACCATGATGATAATGGACTAAACCTCTGAACTGTAAACAAGCCCCAATTGAATGGTTTCCTTCATAAGAGTTGCCGTGGTCATGGTGTCTCTTCATAGCAAAAGAAACTCTAACTAAGACCCTTGGTATTAGAGTATATGCCACTAAAACTTTCCAGGACTCTTCCAGGATGAAAAGAAGTATAGAGAATGAGGTGACAGCCATCTTCAAAACCTTCAGGAAATTTCCAAGCTACCATTATGTCCCTGGCTCTGCAATCCCAATCCAAAGGGCTCCTGTGGCAGCTGTGGAGGGTAGCCACCATCTAGTACCTTCATTCTCTGCCCTGAGCAAAAAAACTAGCTTCTGTAGGCCCTGGGTTTTTCAAAGCAACTGCAATGCAAAAACCCAGTGTATACCAGGGAGAGAATGTCTCTATAACCTTTGCCCTTGTTCCATGCTATGCCAACCACAGCAAAGAAGAAAAGTCCACACTTTTGCAAATCTGCTCAAAATGAATTCATCTGGACATTGCCAGGCACACTGAAAGAGAAGAAAAGAGATCTAATTGACCCTGTTCATGAATCAACTTCCACAGAATCATTCTCCAGTGATTTCTGACACATTTGAGCTGTATTTAGGCCAGGAAAGTAATGCTATTACTCTGCTATTACTCATACTACCCAACTTGCCATGGTCATGCCTACCCGAGGCAGGGAACCGGAGGGGTCAACTGAGCACTTTAACTGAGGCAGGGAACCGGAGGGGCCAACTGAGTTCTTTAACAAAAATTGTCTCTGCACCCTAGCAGTGGTTTGTCCAGTAAGGAAAAGATATGCGCTGAACAGCCCCATCCCTTCCAATTCTAATTGTTCTTTTTATCCATATATATGTAGTATCTGTCTGTGTGGGTACATGAAAATTAGTGGGAGTGCCCAAGGAGACCAAAGGAGGGTTGGATTCCCTGGAGCTGAAGTCACAGGCAGTTTTAAGATCGCAGACAAGGGTGATGTGGATCCTCTGGAAGAAAAGCAAGTGGGCTTAGCTACAGAGCCATCTCTTCAGCCCCTCCCTCTCAATCTTGAAGCGCTAATCAAAAGATCTTTGACTTCTGGGGGAAAAGAAAAACTAAGCTGATTCTGTCAATGCAAGGTCAAGACTTGGAAAGCCTAAGAACTGGGGGCAAGTGAGGGGAATGATGCAAAACTACTGCCAGATGCTTCTAAAGAGTCAGATTTACCTGCTTTTCCACAAAAGGAGACCTCACACCACCCACAACTCTGCCCCCTGAAAAAGATATGGGGAAGGGAACAAGAAGCAGCCTTTAGCATCCACCAAGTCCAGATGAGTGCATCCACTCATCATTTCAGAAGTCATGGAAACTAACCAGCTTCACTTTCTAGCTGCTTCCTAAGAATCAGTAATAGGGTACACAGAAAAGATAATGGAACTCCAGTAGTCACTTCCTTCACTGATGAGGAGTATGGCCCAAAGGGTTCAGTTAATGACAGAACCTGGTAGGGAACCTTAGGTCTCCTGACTTATATTCCATACCAACTTTCATTATATATTACTATATTATAAAGTAATAAAGTACTGACAGCAAAGAGGAACCAAATGGGTCACCACAGTTCTATCATCACACCTGGCCATTATGTACCACTCTTTTTATCACATGCTTATGGCTTCTATTATTATATTAAAATCATATTAGACTAATGTTCTTTCCAATACATAGGCCTCTCCAAATTATCAAACACAAACCAGATGTGGTGGTGTATGCCTGTAATCTGGGTACCTGGGAGGTAAAAGAAGGAAGATCAATAGTTAAGGTCATCCTTGGCTAGACAGCAAGGTAGAGGCCAGCTTGGCCTCAATGAAAACCTTGTTCCTACTCCCCCCAAAATATACTAACAACAATTTTATTAAACAGGGTGAAAAAAAAAAGAACAATGATATGATTCACAGCACAAGTGGTATAAACCTGAAGTGATGTTTATTATCTTTGTAAGAGTTAGTACCCTCCAAAATAAATTTGTCTATCTTACTAAGAAACTTAACAGCATCCAATTATTAGAACTTGGAATTCAGGTCCTTGTCATCAAGCACTTAAAGCAGAACTCTCCAGAGGTCCTGGAAGTCCTGGGATATAAGACTCAAGCTGCTAACCCTAAAATGAGTCCTCTGTACCTACCTGGAGCATCAGGTACTTGAAGAGGAATAAAAGGATCAGATACACTTAGAAGTGGGATGCCAGAGTCCACAGCCTGCCCACCCTTCCTTTTTTCAGCTGGAGTTAGTTGGAGAGGAAAGATAGGGAGAGAAAAATGAGAAAAGCAGAAAATATCAAGTAAATATTGATGCATTTACCATCTATTCATACAAGAGCTCAAATAGGAGAGAAAATCCAAATTTAGACAGAAAGGAGGGGGTGAATGGAAATAACTCAGCTAATAGCAAAACACCTAGAAGACACAGCAAGGGGTCCTGTAATACACCATGAGATGCAGTGGAGCCAGAGCAGGACAGACATGTGTTTGAACTTGCCTTTTTTCTTAAGTGTTTGCCACCCTACGAATCTCTGCTCAGTGATTCAGTCTGTAGAAATTACTGTCTACTCCACACACACTTTGGCACATAATGTCAATATGTGTTTGTCTTCCTGTATACCTCCTCAACACCCTGCATGCCCTCCATGTACTTCCTGTGAGTCTTACTGCACCACTACAATGTGTAACAGGTGCTGTGCAACACTATGGGATGGATAAGCCCCAGCCTCTGGCTCCTACCTGATACTATTGCTATTCATGCTGTATTCAGTAAACTACGGAGTTCCAGAAACCTAAGTATCTTATAGCATATCAGGGCTTAAAACCTTTAAAGCCCTGGAAATTTCTACTGCTATTTTCTTTTTCTTTTTCTCTTTTGGCAAAGAAAACAAAGGCCCAAACTGAGAGACAATCTAGTGGTCTGCCTACAAAGCAAGCGTCAGAACCTGGGTCTCTTGGTTTCTACTTTAGCATTCTTTACATTTCACTTCAGTAATCAGTTTGGTTGTTAATTAAAATCCCATTTTTATTTTTATTTTTATAATTTGAAAGCCAGGTATGGTGATGTACATTGTACTCGAAGTGTTCTAGAAACTGAGGCAAAAAGATCACGAGTTTGAGGCCAGCCTGGTCTATGTACATAGTGAGACTTTGTTGAAAGAAAAGAGGGGAGGGGAGGGGAGGGGA